GGGGCAATGTGGCAGATGTTGCAAGTGTATGGTGAAAGGAGGTAGGTTACTGAAAGCAGTGAAGAGTTTTACGAGGATATGAGGCTCAAGTTAGAGTATGTAGGAAAGAGGGAAAATTTTTCCCAGTAAAAGTAGGCCTTAGACAAGGATTGTGTGATGTCACCGTGGTTGTTTAATATATTTATAGATGGGGTTGTAAGAGAATAAATGCGAGGGTTTTTGGCAAGAGGCGTGGAGTTAAAAGATAAAGAATCACACACAAAGTGGGATTTTGTCACAAGCTGCTCTTTGCTGATGACACTGTGCTCTTGGAATTCAAAGAGAAGTTGCGAGATTGGTGGATGAATTTGGTAGGGGGGGCAAAAGAAAAAATTTAAAGGTGAATACAGGAAAGAGTAAGGTTATGAGGATAACCAAAAAGATTAGGTGATGAAAGATTTAATATCAGATTGGGGAGGGAGAGATTTAGGAGGAGGTGAACGTATTCAGATATGGGAGGACGTGTCAGGGGATGGGTCTATGAAAGATGAGGTGAATCATAGAATTGATGAGGGAAAAAGAGTGAGTGGTGCACTTAGGAGTCTGTGGAAACAAAGAACTTTGCCCTTTGGGGGCAAAGAGGGGAATGTATGAGAGTATAGTTTTTACCAACGCTCTTAAAAGGGTGTGAAGCGGGGGTGATAAATGTTTGCAGTGAGGAGAAGGCTGGAGGCAGTGGAGATGTCATGTCTGAGGGCAATGTGTGGTGGTGAATAAATGCAGAGAATTCGTAGTTTGGAAGTTAGGAGGAGGTGCGGGTTTACCAAAACTGTTGTCCAGAGGGCTGGGGAAAAGGGTTGTTGAGGTGGTTCGGACATGTAGAGAGAATGGAGCAAAACAGAATGACTTAAAGAGTGTATCGGTCTGTAGTGGAAGGAAGGCGGGTAGGGGTCGGCCTAGGAAGGGTTGGAGGGAGGGGTAAAGGAGGTTTTTGTGTGCGAGGGGTTTGGGGACTTCCAGCAGGCATGCGTGAGCGTGTTTGATAGGAGTGAATGGAGACAAATGGTTTTTAATACTTGACGTGCTGTGGAGTGTGAGCAAAGTAACATTTATGAAGGGATTCAGGGAAACCGGCAGGCCGGACTTGAGCCCTGGAGAGGGGAAGTACAGTGCCTGCACTCTGAAGGGGGGGGTGTTAATTTGCAGTTTAAAAACTGTAGTGAAAAGCACCCTTCGGGCAAGACAGTGATGGAGTGAATGATGGTGAAAGTTTTTCTTTTTCGGGCCACCCTGCCTTGGTGGGAATCGGCCGGTGTGATAATAAAAAAAAATAAATACGATGCATGACTCTGTCATAGTTGATGATCTTCTATCTGATCACTTCCCAAGACTAACAACTGTCAATCTTGATCACACCTCCAGAAAATCAAGGAGCTAAATACAAAAGGGAGGAAACTTATTCTCAACCAGAACACAGAGACAACTTTATTAACCACTTGGATCAAGGGTTAATAAGAATTACGAGGCCCATTGGCACACAAAAATTTAATGATGATTTAATTACCACAAATTGAGAGTGTTCTCACAGATCAAGTGGGCAGGAATAGGAAACAAAGACCCTCCACTGTAAATAACAAAAAATCCAATGTAAATACTATAATGATCTCACTATGCAATCTAACACATGCAGCTAGAGGATTGGTAAAGCATACCGGGGAATGTAGAACCCAAGACCTGGCTCAGAACGTTCCAAGCTGCACTAACAAATGCAAGGAATAGAAAGGAAGAACTTAGGCAACAGGAATGGGAACAGTTTGTTAGTGGATTAAATAGGTCCACCCCTTTGAGTTGGCTTGGAAAGGTATAAATAAAATAACCAGGAAAAAGACTGGCAATGTTGCTCATCCCTTTTCCTCTTGAAAGAGCAAATGACCTCATAAATGCTGATCCAAAACATCCAGGCATGAAAACCTTCCATCAAAATTTAGAAAAAAATTAAAGAGTACTTCTGAAGAAATGTTGAAAACATTAATTTTATGAGCCAAAAAAATGATGAGAGAGATTGCCTCTTTACCGAGAAATGAATTAGTTTAATGCATTAACCATAGGTCGATCAACTGCTCCTGGAGAGATGGTATAACCTATGAATTCTCAGAACTCAAAGGGGACGTGCCTGTTTAACCCTTTGTTGGCATGTATAATCTCAGTTACATTGGGGGCATTCTTCCCTACTTCCTGGACCAACAGTCTCATTGTGCCTATCCCTAATCTCCAACAGCCTGATCATTTGGGCCAAATCCCCTTTAAACTAGTTGTCTTTGTAAAACTTTTGAAAGAATGATGCTAACAGACTGTACTACAGAATCAGACACCAACTTTCCCCCTACCTCTATGGGTTAAAGAAAGGTAAAAGTGTGCAGAACGTATTTCCACCTTTCTCACTGCACTCACCTCTACTAGTTTTACCACTTTTCTTGATCTAAAATCTGCATTTGATATTGCGAACAGAACCGTTATACTACATGAACTAGCCAAAATGAATATTGGTGGTAGCTTACTCTGCTGGATAATAGGATACCTGTCAAATAGAGTATCCTCTGTCCTTTACCAAGGTTTCAGAAGTGATTCTAAAGAAATGTCTTTAGGTACACCGCAGGGAGGAGTTCTTAGTCCCATGCTATTTAATATTCTGATTAATGCTCTCCTAAATGCTCTACCTGCCTCACCTAAACATATAGCTATAAGCTATGCTGATGATATCAGCACCTAAACATATAGCTATAAGCTATGCTGATGATATCATGATCCATACAACAGGGCATAAGAAGATGAATACCATTCTTTATGAAGTTCAAGCAATTTGTAATCGACTAGGCCTCATAATATCTTCCTCTAAAACAAAGATATTAACAAGCAAACGACATCCCCCACCCATCTATTTGCAGGGTGAAATCATTAGCTACGTTAAAACTTACAGATATCTTGGTGTACATGTACCCTTTAACAAATCCACTATACCACAACTAAACAAGAAATGCAAAGCTAGGCTAAATGCTCTCTAAAGCTGTTGCTGGCTACAATCTCAACTATGGTGCTAATGTGAGAATCGTGAGAATGATGAAACAACCTATGTTAGGTCCTTAATTGATTATGCTGCTCCCATGTTGATATTAGCTAGAGAAAGTTCTCTCCGACCCTTGGAGTTAATGCAAAATGAAGCTCTCAGGATTATTCTTGGCTGTCCCAGATCTACAAAAGTTCTTAACATGAGGAAGGAGCTTGGTATTTTCTAGTATCAGTAAATAGGATTGTTGAAATTAACACTGAACTCGGTATTAGAATGTTGAGAAACGAACCAACACTGTCACAGTGAATCTTACCAAGTGTCTAGAGGTAAATACACACAAATCTAAATGGATTGTGAAAACGTGCAATTGCATTAAGTTTTTAAAACCTGCATGACTGTATCCTGTAGGCAAAAAGAGCATTTCACCGCTCCATGGAAGATGTTTTCATTTAATATCACATACCTATAAGTCCCTCCCAAGAAGCTCATTGCTAGTAATCCCTTCCTTAAATTTTTGTTAGAGCACTGCTCAAGAAGAAATTTCTCACCTAGCTGGTAGTAATAAGTTATCACAAGTAAAATACACTGATGGATCTAACAGGAGTCTTCTGGCAGGGCTTAAATCTGCTCTTGTTGCCACCTCCCAAGTTAAGAACGATAATAAATTTGTTGATTAGGCATAAGAATTAAAAAACTGGGCGTCTACACTGCAAACTGAATTGTTTGCAATCCTAATGGCGCTAAAGCTAACCTATGACACTGAGCTTGACTCTATCATCTTTAAATGATTCTATGTCATCATTGAAGGCTCTTGACTCATATAATGACTCCAACAACATGCTCATTGGAGAAGCCAGGTATAGATAACCAAAAATTAGGGACAAAGGAATTAATGTACAATTGTTATGGATCCCATCACACATTGGATTACTCCTTCATGATAAAGTTGATATGTTAGCCAAAAGAATAAACCCCCAAGGAGAATGGGAGAATAAAAACTTTGGTATAACTGTGTCTAGCATTTAGGGAAAAAAATAATATTAGGAGAGAAGTAAAAAATGAAAATGATTGTTATAGGAATGAAGTTAGAAGCCTGAGTAGATCTATAACCCCTATGATAACATGAACATAGAAAAAGTATGTTTAAGGAGAACTTGCAAATGTGAACAGACTGACTGATGTTGTAGTGGCCAGGCTTAGGCCCTTGGTTACAAGTACTTCTGGCAGTTTGGGAGACACACAGATGATGATCAAACTAAATGTAAATTATGTGATCAGGCATATGGTCACTCTCTTGAACACTATGTGCTTAATTGTCCACTTATTGAGGAATACAGAGACAGACAGTATAATAACCTATGTGACATGTCAAGATATCTTATTAATGAAAATAAGATACCAGATATACTAAGCAAATTTCCTAAATTTTCTTGTAACAGATAAGTGTTCTATAGATATGTAGATATAAATCCATATGTATCCCTGTGGCCCGGTGGCCTGGTGGCTAAAGCTCCCGCTTCACACACGGAGGGCCCGGGTTCGATTCCCGGCGGGTGGAAACATTCGACACGTTTCCTTACACCTGTTGTCCTGTTCACCTAGCAGCAAATAGGTACCTGGGTGTTAGTCGACTGGTGTGGGTCGCATCCTGGAGGACAAGATTAAGGACCCCAATGGAAATAAGTTAGACAGTCCTCGATGACGCACTGACTTTCTTGGGTTATCCTGGGTGGCTAACCCTCCGGGGTTAAAAATCCGAACGAAATCTCTCTCTCTAACCCTTTGGGGCCTAGTTCCTAGGCCTTTTGTGTATCCATATGCTCTCGCGCTACCGTCCACAGGATGGATATGGGGTCCACAATAAACTAGCCACTTCGGTGGCAAAATCTAAATCTAGGGACTGTCCTTCCGGGAGGAACAACGAAAGTACCCTTCTTTAAATTTTGCTTTTCAGGCAGCCATGGGTAAATCCTCTTTGGAACATTTGGTCAAGTATAAACTTAAAAACGACTATTTGATCTGCCCTGAGACTGGTAAGGAGATAGAGGGCCAACAATTGTCTGACAGGTTAGTGGTTCCAACAAAGTTTAGACCTCAAATATTGAATATAGCTCATAATGCTTCATTAGGAGGTCACTTAGGAATTACTAAAACATTATATAGAATTAACAAAAAAAAATTTTATTGGCCAAAATTAAAGCAGGATGCGAAGAATCATATCCGGTGTTGCCAAGAATGTCAGCAAGTAGGGAAACCTGGACATTCCATTAAACCTGCACCTCTTCAACCTATACCTGCTGATAGAGAACCTTTTGCAGATTTAATTATAGATTGTGTAGGTCCACTACCTAGATCAAAGTCGGGAAATCAATATTTATTTACCATTATGGATAGAGTAACTAGATACCCTGAAGCAATTCCCATGTGCAGTATTAATACTAAAGCTATTCTTGAAGCTTTAACTAGATTTATTTCTTGTTTTGGCATTCCTAAAACTATTCAAAGTGATCAAGGTACTAACATCAATGCCAAAGCATTTAGGGAAGCATTAACTAGGTTAGGGATAATCCACAACTTATCCACTGCCTATCATAGTCCCAAGGCGTCTTGGAAAGATTCCATTATACGTTAAAATCCATGATGAGAACTTTTTGCATGCATTTTCCTACAGACGGAATGAATCACTAACCTTTTTTGCTGTTCTCATTTCGAGAAACAGTGCAAGAGTCTACTGGTATAGTCCGATTGAGCTGATCTTTGGGCACAATATACGAGTCCTCTTCGGGTGCTCAAAGAAGATTGGATGGGAGAAGACTTTAGCTCAAACACTCTACAACCCGTCTTCAAGGTTTTCAGGTAGCACAATCAGTTAGCCAAGGCTAAACTAAAGGCAGCTCAAAAAAAGATGAAACAGAGGTATGACAGAAATGCACAATTCCACTCCTTCCAAACCAGGAGACAAGGTGTTGGTACGGAACCTATACCTGGCCACACCTTGAAAGCTAGATTTATGGTACCTATCAGATTGTAAGTAGATTATCTGAGTAAAATTTTGTGGTAGCTCCTATTGTAAGACCTCAAAAACAAAACTTCCCCCATAATCAATTAAACATTTTCATAAAACCAGATAAAGCCCCGTAATGACTCTGCCTCTTCCCTGAGGGCGACTCTGACTCTTTTGCACCTATTTCTGAAGTTAATGTTTTAAAAATTTTCCCAAAATCTGTCCTCCTCAAGGACCTAGCCTTTAATGGTGGGGCATCTGAAACTCAAGCAACAAGTTTAACTGCGCTTCTACAATCAATACCCGAGATTTTTTTTGGATGTGCCGAAAAAATTGTACGTTAGGTTTCATGATGTAGATGTGGGAAACTCTATACCTATTAAACTCTCCCTCTACAGAGCTTAATCCTGAAAAGCATAGGCTACTTCATAAATTTCTGTTAGAGGATGGGTTAGTGGAGGAGTCATCTAGTCCATGGGATTCACCGTGCATCCTTGTTAAAAAGCTGATGGAGGGTTTTCGTATGTGTAAAAGTCCACCGTGAGGTGAATAAGTTCACAATCACAATGCTTACCCCTCTTCCTCGTCTGGATGACGTAATTGACTTTGTGGGTAAGGCTACTTTTGTGTCCCCAAGTTAGATCTCCTTTAAGGTTACTAATCAGGTACCTTTGATGGATAAGGCGAAGGAAATCTCTGCCTTCGTAATTCTAGGAGGTCATTATCAGTATACAGTTACCTCCACTGGAATGAAAAACTCCCCCTCTTCATTCCAGAAACTTATTCATCAGGCTGTTAAAGTAATTGAAGGCACTGCAGCATACCTGGATGATGTGGTGTCTGATACTTGGGATCAACACATATTTAGACTTAATGCTCTTTTTGAGACCTTTTGGAATTCACATTTAACTGTTAATTTATCTAAGTCTTCCTTTGGCCAGGCAACTGTCACTTTTCTAGGCCATGAACTAGGTAGTGGTAAAATTGCTCCTAAACTTGCTAAAGTTATTGCCATTAAAGATTGCCCAGTTCCACATGATAGGAAATCTCTTCAACGTTTCCTAGGCAGGCATGATAGGATTTTACAGAAGATTCTGTAAGAATTTTTAAGACATTGTAGCCTTTCTTACCTCTCTTACGAGTCACAAAGTTCCCTTTAATTGGACCCCAGAATGTCAAAGTGCTTTTGATAAAGCAAAAGGATTATTGTGTACTGCACCCATTCTTTTATCTCCAGATTTCTCCAAACCTTTCTCATTACAGGTTGATGCTTGTGAGTCTGGGGTTGGGGAAGTACTATTGCAAAATGGGGACCAGGAGTTGCAGCCTGTAGCCTACTTCTCAGCCAAGTTCCAAGTACATCAGAGGGCTTACTCTACCATTGAAAAAGAAGCCCTTGTGCTGGTACTGACTTTGGAGCACTTTGATTTATATGTGGGACAAACTTCGCAGGTGATCACTGACTACAGTGACCACAATCCTCTAGTATATCTCCAAACCATGAAGAACCACAACACAAGGCTCATGAGATGGACATTGAGACTGCAACCCTCTTTTTTGAAAATTGTATGTGGGCTACCGTCCGCCTGTGTCTTGGACCTAAGCTAGCCCGACTGTCTGCTGTCTCGCTCTGAGTTTAGGGTTTGGCTTTTTGTCACGAGAAAAGCTGAGCTCTATCTAAGAGTTGGATGGTTGAGAGGAAAGGCGGTCCCATTATTTTGTGCCATGGCGGCACGGTTACCACTGGGAGGTGGCAGCCAAATCCTGAGCCATCTCGGGGTGGGGGTGTGGCATGCAAAGAGTACAAACCTTTATTCGGCGCAAAGTACACACCCTTATTTTTCAGGCAAACTCCCCAACCCCGCAAACCAGGTGACTGAGGGTTGATGATGGGCCCCGTCGTTCAACCATACCTAGGCTCCAGCCAATAAGATGGTTTTGGCAATCGCAGAGGTTTGTGGGTACCACTCTCCTGTCTGCCTTTGTCATTCCCATTCTAGAGCTGGTTGAAGCACGGTCCCGCTCTCTACTGGCTTCTGTTCTGCCTTGCTTACTGTGGAGTGCACTAATACCTATCGCTGTACATAGTGTATACAGTGTACATACTTCTGTTCTAAATGGTGAAGGATAATATAAGTCAAAGTTTTCTGCTGTGTTTATTTTACTCCCTTAAACCCAGTATAACAGGCCATTTGAAATCCTGGGTTGTAATAACTATTTATGAGAAAACTCAAGTGGGATCTCTGAAAAAAGTTGGCAATACTACTAAACTCATGTCCTTTGGGAACCATTACTTGTCTCCTTTTTCATAAGGATCCACCTTGTAAAAACAGTTTTTAAATAGTTTGGCCTGTTCCTCAGAAACCGCTAACTCCTACAATTAATTTAAGTCTTGATCTAAATGGAACACTCGGGTTAATCAAAGCCTTGACTAGGGTTTTAAAAGGGTTTCCCGTTTGGATTGCATTACTAAACAGTAAATCCAAACCCAGGTCTTTATTTTCAGATGGTTCTTCAAAATCTGTGGAGCGAGACATAGGAATGAGTAATGATGTTTAAAGGGAAAAAATCTGGACCTTCGTTGATGCTTCTAAAGCGTAGTGGGTCTCAAGATGTTGTTTATCACCATCAGTTCTTTACAAATTTCCCTTTGGGGGTATACATCATTTCTGAAACAAGAGTCCAACACCTTGAATGGGGAATTCTTTACTAGATAAGCCAACAGTTATCCAACCCACATAGTTGGGAATTTCCAAAAACACTCTTTGCAATGGTACTTTAATTAAGGTGCCACCATAAGCCTCTAGTAAGACTTCTATCTTGGTGTCTGATTGATCATCAAGGGGTAATACATCTGTCCTCAATAAAAACAAATAACTCCATGTGTCTCGAAACGTAGTGATATTAACTAACATTTTTTCGGCGATGCCGACTTTTCCCCTAGCAAGGTAAGGTTTTCCCTGGCCTCACGTACCTCAGTTTCAGAATGTAGTCATTTTCCCCTCTGTTTGGTCTGTTTGGTCCAAGTTCGTTCCTACAGACTGTGCTATAGGTTGGACCTGGGAGATAACTTGAATAGGGTATCTCCTGGGGTTTTCAAAGTTCCGTGTATTTTTCTTTCTACATTGGTTTTCCAAATGTCCTGATTTGTGGCAGTAATTACAAAACCATTGGGGAACATCTTCCTTTTTATGACTCGATTGTTTTCCATAAGTGGAATTACTATCCCAGTTTGGAGAATGCACCATATACGCTCTTTTTTCAAACTTAGAATCTTTCTTGGGATTTTTCCGAAAAGCCTTTTGATGTTTACTCTTACCCGTCATCTGATGAGCTATCTCATAATGGTTGGCTATCGAAGCAGTTTCTATTAGCATTGTGGTGGAACGTACGATAAGGTAAGTATGTAGGTCGTCCGTCAAATAATTGAAGAATTCTTCATTTAAAATTAATCGAGAAAGGGATTCCACTGTATTGCAATTTGAAGCCCTAAGCCATCTCTCAAACACTGCCTGTTTTCCTCGGGCAAACTCTACCCAGGACTGATGTGGGTTGTGCTTTAAAGTCTAGAATGACCGTAGATAACTGGCAGGCAACAACTTGTAAGCGTCCAATACAGTTTTCTTTATCATCTCATGCTGAGAGTATTGGTCGAAGGGTAAGGACACCATGCTAGCCTCTGCTTTTCCCGTCAATGTAGTGTGTATCAGGGCAGCCCAATGTTCCCTGGGCCACTTCATAATTTAAGCCTGGTTTTCAAAGGCTTCAAAAAATGTGTCGAGGTTTTCCTCACAGAATTTGGGGACCATGGCAGCCGCTTGATGAATATTGAACCTCTCGACTCTTGATGCCAGATGACACTCCGTTTTTTCCGGGTTGAGTTGTCTATCACATTTGATGGATTCTCTTTCGAATTCTTCTTGCTTAAACTTACATTGGGCTTCAGTGTACGTAGTTTGTAATATCAAGAAGCATTCTAATCTCTCAAATTGTTCAGGATCTCTGGAGGAATTTGAATGGTGTTCCATTGGGAAAACTCTGGATTATTCCTCACAGGAGCTCTAGGTTCCATTAACGTAGAGAATAGGGCAGTTCCTGGTGTACTATTGGTGAAGTCTAGGGTTTCCCAAGTGGTCTGAGCTTGAGACAAAACTGGTCTTGGAGTCTTAGGTCTCGTTGATGTGTCCTTAGTAACTACTGAAGGCACTTCCACGTCATTTATGGCATGGGCTGCTGGTCAAATTGTGAAATTAGACTTTCCTTATCTTCTAATTCCTCACTGTAGTCTTCTGGGGCTTCTGGAAAAAGTAAATTCTGAATGATAGCCCGTAGAATGCAGCAGTATAGTGTTTATCATACTTGACTCTAAGCGATTTGGCTATTTGCCAGCATGTTTGTAACTTTATCGTATTCAATCATTCAACTGTAAGGTCTTCAAACCTGGCCGATGATTCAGCTATATTTTATAAGTCTGTATGCTTAAAGGTGTGCATTTCGATGTTCAGTCTCCCGGACAGTAGGTCCCCATTTATTGTGATAAACTTTATAAACCATAGGTGATGTTAGTCTAGGGGAGTTTTAGGGAGAATTGTTCTCCAGTTATATCGGGACATTTGGAAAACCAATGTACAGTGGACCCCCGGTTCACGATATTAATCCGTTCCTGAGAGCTCATCTTAAACCAAAATTATCGGAAAGCGAATCAATTTTCCCCATAAGAAATAATGGAAATCAAATTAATCCGTGCAAGACACCCAAAAGTATGAAAAAAAAACTTTTACCACATGATGTATTAAGTTTAATGCAATAGAATAATTACAATAACAATAATAACAATAGAATAAACACAATAGACTAATTGACACTTACCTTTAATGAAGATCTGGTGATGATTGATGGGATGGGAGGAGGGGTGTGAAAATTTGTGTGGACTGCCTCAAGTGAGTCGCCTACCCTGGCAAACTCTGTTGACACCGAGCTCTGAGGTGGGTACCTCAGCCTCACAAGTGGCTTATAGGACAGATTTTCACAAATGATTGATGTTGCAAGAAACTCGCCTGCATGCACATATAAAGGACTAACTTACTTGGTGTTGCAGCATATATCCTGATGTTCAACTTCCCTAAGCTTAGCCTTAGCCCCTTTGGACTTCCCCTCAGAAACCATGTGCAACCGGGAGCCTTAATTCCTGCAATATTCAATCGTTATTAGTGTCCTGCCTGCACCTCAGAAATTCCTATATCCAAGAGGGTATGTATCCCCTAGTATAACTATGCAGACTCAGACACTAGCTTCCAGACTGCTCTGAGACACTGGTACTTACTGGGCATTCTCTGCCTGTTGCATACCAGGCCCACAGATAAAACTCAACTCACAATCTCCCCAGACACTGGCCAGAAATCTACGAGAAACAGTGGAGGTTTTGTCTTACTGTATGGGCCTGATGGAGGAGGTCATCTATGGTACATCGAGGTGCCTCTACCAGATTTCCCTAGGTCTCAGATGTGAAGACACGTGGGGGGCGCCGTCTGCTGATCACGGCACGTCTTGTCCAGTTGGTGTCTGTCTTAAGAAGAACGAGCTGGTCTCTCTTCCATACCCTCATCTCTTCGTTCAAACTAGGGCTGCCAGTTCTCCCTAGCTAACTTATCCTAGTGTTTGCCTACATTATCGGCCTATTGCTACCTTTGTTAAGGTCTGAGGTTACATTATTATCTACAGTGCCTCATTGATCCTAATATTAGTGTACTACCAGTAAAACTACCTACTCCTTCCTGGAAGAGTAATCTTTCAAATTAAATTACATGGCCTACCTACATTCATCGCCAACAAGAGAGATTGCTTCATGTTGGCGTAGGGTATAAGGGCCATCAGCTTCAGCACATCTCGTACGGCCATGCTGGATCTATCCTGTGGAACTTTAGGGCAAATAATTTCCACATCTCCGCCGGCGAAGGTAGGCGCTAAGTCTAAAATCAAGTTTCATATCTTCCACGAGCCCCACAGCGGACATGGAACGGTGCCGTCCGGCCACTCTCGTCGAGCTGGATCTGGTCTAAATTCAAACCGTCAGTTTCCCCTGTGTGGACCTCTGGGGGTGTAAAATTGTTTGGTTCCGGTGGTCTTAGCTCCCTTTCCTTTAACTTTTGCGCTTTCCGTATGTCTAGCCATGATGAGTGGCTCCGTACTTTCCCACCCAGTGGCCCCATGCCCTGGTAGCCTTTCCTCCCACTGTTACGAGGTCGTGGATTTAAAGGCAATCTATCTCCCTCTTTATGTACCTGTAAAAGTGTTTTCCCAGGTGGCCTGTTGTTCATCACTACCTACTGGTTCAGCTTCCTGGCGGTTCATAGTGTATAATGGTATTCATCTATCAATACTCCCCCAGCTATCATGGGTACAGATTCTCCTCTATCTGGCGTGGCAGGGGAATTCTGTTGGATCCTGCCCGCTTTGATGTATCACTATGGGGCATCTGTATAACCCTATTCCTTCCTTTAACGTCCGTCGTGTATGACAGGAAAGTCTCTTCTATATGATTGGCCTCCCACCTCGGATTACCTGCATTTCTGTCCGTGTCAGTGGTAATTTCCCTGGTCTGCATGCATTCACATCAAGGTCTTTCCAATCGCCTTAGCTGCTGCAGCTAGACCTCTGCTGTAATTTGCCGTGGGTAATGTCTCTACCACAAGGCTGTAATGTCTCGTGTGTCCACCTAATTTGACTGTGGACATCCACCTTCATAAG